GACCCCCTCAGACATCGGTGCGTTGGTGGTTCTTTGTGTCCGGGGATGGGCGTCCAGGTACACACCGGCTCACTCCTTGGCGGCCGCTTATCGGGGCCTGGAGCCTGGGGCTCGCTCGGGCCACTTCGGAGGTGGGGTGCCCCCGGCCTCTCGGCCTGGGGCTCGGTCACTCAGGCACGGCTGGCTGCCGGCGGAGCTCACGGGCGCGTCACTGCAACTCCCCCTGGCTTCTGCTCCGCGGCTGCTGAGTGAGCCCTCATCTGGGACTCTCCTCAGCTCTTTCCGGGACAGTGGCGCGGCTGCCCCTCTGTTGGTCTTCCTTGGTCAAAATGCCCCCACACTCCCTGCTCTCAAGGAGGACAAACCAACAAAAAACAGCTACCACGGATTTCACAACAGCCAGTCAGTTTATTCAGTCCCAACAGGTAGCAGGCATCAGGGTGAGCATGGCCAAAACAACAAACAAAAACTCTAGAAATGAAATGCAGCTGGCTTATCTTCACAGAAAACCCCAAACGAAAATTACAGGTGTCTTACCTGCCTCCCTAACCAAAAACAGGAGAAAAGGTTCCCAAAGAAAAATGGCTTCTCACCCCTACAGCTACAGAGTAAAAAAAAAAGTATCGACAACTATTTACATCTATATACAACAAACTATTTACATCTATATACAACAAACTATTTACATCTATATACAACAAACTATTTACATCTATATACAACAAACTATTTACATCTATATACAACAAACTGTTTACAACACGGGGGGAGATCGCGACCATGACAAACTGAAACACAGGGCTTAAATACATAGAGGGAGCAATCAGGGAATGGACAACAGAAGGGAAACACAGCTGGGGCAAATCAGAACTGACGAGACAAGGAAGCGTAAACTGAACACACTGAGATAAGACAGACCTTCAAAGTAAAACAGGAAACACATAACAGGCCTAACACAAAGCACTGACAACATTGGATCGTAACAAAGTGTAAGATGTTTAGAAGAAAAGGTAGCTCAATGGTTCGGTGTCATGGTCCATGCACTGCTGGCACAGGTTGTTGAGAATGGTTTTGGACTTATTTGTTTCTATGAAAGAATAAGTTAATTATGTTGTAGTTCCTGAGTATGGGTGTATTTCATGATTCTGTTCCGGGCATGTTCATGTATCTAGCTCATGTTTATATTTCATATGTCACTGGCTGACGTCACAACATGGCATGAGTGATAGCTCACTCAGCTAGTGAGGATAGGTTATTAATGATAGGTTAATAATGGTTGATAGGTTAATAATAATATGCTCATAGCTGCATGTCTTTGGACTAAAGACCCCGATAGTGGAATTCAACTCAAGACTTTCTTGCTGTGAGACAATAGTGCTAACCACATGGCCACCCCTATTATTATAATTGTTACTATTTCCACTATTATTAGTAGTACCATCTCTATCATTAAGTTCCCTATGCAAGGCACACTTACTATTATTGTTATTATTATGGAGGTACTGAAAAACAAAAAAATGAGGCATAAGTGCATCTAATTTGTTCTTCCGTCTAATAAAAGATATTTGAAACATAGTGCGAGGAGTGACATTAACTCTTGGTTTGGAATGCCAGTGTGACAACTAATATGAAAACATTAATGCTGAATTACAAGTTTTATACTTTAGTTGACATTACTACACGACTATGTGCACTGCTGTGTCTGGCATGCTGTTTGACACATACAAGAAGTTATATAATGCTGTCCTACAGTTCAGGAAACACAGATTCTCTTCCAACCTAAAGAGACAGTCCATATGATTTCAAGACTGGACTCTCCAACCCCACGCATTGTTTCTTTTCTTCAATAAAATGCATTTTATGTGCTTTAAATAAAGCTTCAGCCGTGGAGTGTTTATGTCCTGGTGACCAGCTTAGCAGCACCTGGGAATTGGAGTTAATGACAGGCTGCAAGATTTCCCCTCTGGCATTTATCATGGCAATGGAGTTGGTCATGCGGCATCTCGGTGGGTAGTGGTAGGTGAGAGACTCAAGAGCACTGTTCCCTCTAAGCTGAGCACGTGAGAAATTGCGCACTGCTAACACAGTCTCCACGCACAGAAAATCAGCAAAATAAAATAAATACATGTATTTACTTTAATTCCAATTCAGACTGGATTTTTTTGTGTGCGCAGGGCAGATTTTCTGTGAGACCATGTGAGCAGTGCGCGACTGCTCACGCGCTCAGCTTAGAGTGGCCTTCGTCTTCCTCCCATTAGAGCCTACATGGATGACATGACCATCATTACAACAACAAAACCATGTACTAGGCGATTGCTACAGAAGCTCCAGGAAAACATCGAATGGGCAAGAATGGAGTTTAAGCCAAGTAAATCTCGCAGCATCTCCATCATAAAAGGAAAACCGACAGCCAATCAATTCTATATCAGTGGAGAACAAATTCCAACAGTATTACAGAAGCCCATAAAGAGCCTGGGATGGTGGTACAATGCAGACCTCAATGATACTTGGCAACTAGAACAACTAAGGCAGAACTTGGCTAATAATCTCCAGCGGATTAACAACACTGCACTCCCAGGGAAACTGAAGCTCTGGTGCTTTCAATTTAGGTTATTACGCAGACTACTGTGGCCGTTGACAATGTATGAGGTCTCACTCAATCATGCAATCGACTTAAGAGGCTAGTGAGCTCCTACGTTAAGAAGTGGCTCGGACTTCCCAAATGCCTCAGCAGCATTGCACTCTATAGCGACGGGATACTGGCATTGCCAGGTAGAGGGGTTTAAATGTGCAAAAGCGAGGCTTAAGAGGCACTGCTCCCACCCTAGCAAGGGAGGAAGTGGACTCCAGCCACATCTAAGCTACAGGCCAAATCTGCTCTTCGGCATCGTGACGTGGTTGGTCACATCCAACAGGGCACAGGAGGATTTGGTCTTGGAGCAGTAACACCTCTGTGGCAACAGGCATCTGTAACTGAACTTCAAAAAATGGTAGCCTAGTGGAAAAGGTGCGGCGACAGGAGGAAACAGCCAGGCATGCTAGAGGTTTGGAAAAGACCCAGCCTGCCCCCTGTGTACAGTCCCAGCCACACTCAAGCGCATCTTAGTTGGTTGTAGGACTAGCCTTACTCAGGGCAGATACACATGGAGACACAACCTGGTCCTCAGGTGTCTAGCTCCCAAAAACTTGCGTATGTCATTGTCAGGGATTGTAACATCTAGTCCTTTTACTGAATAAAATGAAAGTTAATTTAGACAGTAATGTAAAAGTGAAAAGACAATCATGAAAATAGGAAATAGGGAAAAAAGAAAAAACTCATGAAAGTGTAGTAATAACAGAACTTAAAAAAAGCAACCACAAGAAAAAAGGTAAGGCAACTTAAATTAAATGCTGCTACTACACACAAATGTATTTAAACACTGTATTTTGTTCAAAATCTTATCAGTGTGAAAAATGTAAAGCTGTATTTCCTATTCTCCTGTCTAAATTTATTCTCATCATCTTTGATTGTTTCCCAAGAAAGACACTGAAATACTCATTTGACTTGCTATACAAACATGCGTTTTGCATATCTACTGTGAAGTAAGGCAGCACTTGGGCTTTACCCTAAGCAAATTCTAAATTTGTTTATTTTTCTTGTCCTAATAACTTTGGGAAATATACCTCAACAATAGTGCTGATATGTTAATAGATAAAAAATAAAAAGGGAGGCTAAGTCGCTGAGTCTTACCTGTGCTGTTTCACCATCATCCTGTCTGTAATCTGGGAATTTTCTGTATTGTTATATTTCTATATTTCTGCACCTTTAGGCAACTGTTGATTTGTTTGCTATCAGACTCTTGAACAGCTGACCTGTTTTAACAGTAATAATAAGTTTTGCAGATCAGGTCATTTTACACATCGAACCAGCATATTAAGCTCAGAGCTGTTTTGCACACAAATGTATTTTTTTTTTGTCTCAATTTATTTGTTCATACTATTTGTATTTATCTGTTCTAGTATCTGTACATATTAACAGGCATCTGTGTGTGGACAGCAGAGAAAGAATTTCATTGTACAGAGAAATGCTTTTCTTTGTAAATATGACAATGAACACTTTGAATCTTTAATCTATATAACTGAAATTAAATTGATCTGAAATTAATATATTATCAAAATAAAATTAAAAAACACATATTTGTGCATCTAAATTGGCCACAGGTGTAGTTGTTTTGTCACAATGGTGTTCTGTCTGTCTGTCTTTGCCCTGCAACAGACTGGTGGTGACCTGTCCAGTATGTACAAAATATATTCTTTTATAGATAAATAAATAAATAACTATATATATACTTCACAGATATATATATATATATATATGTAAAGTTAACTTGAACTGAAGTGATATGGCTTCAATTTCACCTTAAATTATTTCTCTTTATCTCTTTATTTATTTATTTATTATTTATTCTCTTTATTTATGCTATGACAATATAAAAAATGACTTGCTCTCACTGCAGAATAATATGGTTTGTTTGTTTGCCACCCATCCCTTGTGCTTTGCCTTAAGCAAATTCTTAAATTTGTTTAGGGCGTCCTCTTCCAAGAACCTTTAGATTTATGTCTGTCTGTGTATGTTTCAAAAGGCTATTATTATTAGTAGTAGTAGTAATATTATTCCCTAACTCTGGAACCCCTATAACAACACCAACTACCAACATGTCAGGAAATATTTGTGTGGTTAAAAATAATTTCTGTGAATTTACTTAAAATGGTTTAAGTCTTTTTTTATACAGCCTTAGCTACCTATTTTACTTGTTTATTTAATGCTGGGACAGGTTCGGGGCCCTGTAAGCAGTTTTATGGGCTGTCAAAAAAAGAGAACGTTAAAGCAGCTGTGTTTTCTCACTCAGCTTGTGATTATTGTGTGGTTAAGAGAATGAAAGGGCCGACCTATATGCAAATGCATGTCTGAAGGACAAGCATAAAAGGTGACAGCTCCAGAACAGATTTCCCAAATCTTTTTAAATCCAAGAGCACAATGGACAGACTCTTCACTTACATTCTGTTCCTGTTGAATTTGTCTGGGACTTTTAGTAAGAGTAAGTACATTTACATCGAAGATCAGAAGACTTGGAATGCCGCTCAGAATTACTGCCGGGAAAAGTACACAGACCTGGCCCCTGTTAGTAATGAACAGGACTTGAACAAACTTCAGAAGATGAGACCCTCAGGCCTTGTCTGGGTAGGACTGCAAAGAATTTTAGGCACAAATAATTGGACCTGGTCAGGAGGTGGACCAATGGAGGTTGCTTGGACAAATACGCAACCCGACAATGGCGAGTTAGATACCAATGGCTATATCGATGACAAAGGACTGAGTGATGGAAAAGAAGCTGACAGTAGAGCCTTCTTCTGCTACAGTCCAACAGTGGTGAATGAGAAAAAGACTTGGGAGGAAGCTCTGGAGTACTGCAGAAAGACCTACAGTGACCTCGCCAGTGTGGCATCAGTGACCGAGATGTTGCTGATACAGAGAGAACTGAAAAAGCAAAACACCACAGGTCCCTTCTGGATTGGATTGCATTTCTTCTTTAAAGACTGGCTGTGGGTGGACGGCCAGGAGCTGCGCTACGCATCTTGGGGTCAAGGGGTAAAACCAACATGTCCAGAAGTCCAGAGTGCAGAGTGTGCAGCCTTACAGGCAATGGAATGGTCGGCCAGTGACACAACCTCGGCTTCTTCTGGCACGTCTGTCATTGGAAGTGTTTATCATTTTTTAGCAAATACTTTGTGGAGAGATAAGGCAACTCTTGCTGCAACTGTATATAATAGTGGAGGTGTCTGGGGGGCTCATAACTGTGAGAAAAAACTTAATTTTATTTGCTATTGAGCAAGTTTGCAAAATTAATTTGAATTACCCTTTAATAATTGTGGTTGCTATACTTTGGTTGTTCATTTCCATTTGCAATTTCTGTTTTGCTCCTTGATTCTTTTCTTTCTTTCTATGGTAAAGGGACACTTGATCAAATTAAAGAGTGCTGAATAGATTTGAAAACATCAAAACAATAAACACAGAAAGCAAACTCCGGTAGATAAAATGTCATAAGTAAATACAAACGAGATTAGAGTAATGTCTATATTTCAAAATTAATAAAAAGTCAGGCTGAAGAAGGAGGAATTAAGTTTAGTACTATTATTTGCACTCAGGTCAGCTTTTTGTCCTGCAATTTTAGACTGAAAACTGGGTTGTGCAGCAGGATATAAGTCCTACATAAATACATACTGGACAAATAAAACATAATTAATAACAACATAAGTATAATCCTAAAAGTGAAACTATTTTCAATCTTTTTTTGTTTGTTTTTTCTTTCTTTTGATATAATGCTAATCTTTTGGTTTTGGTAGATTATCTTTTAAAATAATAAACTCTCATTTCACTCAGTTCCCAAAATGTTTTAATTGTTGTGCTTCATGATGAGTAAACAGATATTGAACTATGTTGTGACAGAATTTGGTTCTTTTACTGTAAATAGAAATAATCATGGTAAACAGATGGATGAGTAGGCTGCTTTTTCAGTTTTTCTTTTACTCTCACTACAATATCTGAAAGGCAAACCAGTGTAACTCTAGAAGAAGTAGGTGTCTTACAGTAAGTGCTCGGTTAGTGAATCAGTTAGGCCTATTAAATACACAGTGTGTGATTTTCTCAGGCAAAGGAAAGAATCACACTACAAATTATGGCAGATTTAAAAATAAAAACCCAGTTAAAATAAAATCCAAGTCAAATATCATCATTAAATTTCTTGCTTAGTTGGGGGAGGTCCCAGGAAACCAATTTCTCTTTCTGACATTTAGAACACATGACACAATTTCCTGTTTTGTTTTTTGTAGCATGCACTAAAAGAACATCTATTTTTATTAGATTTGAGTGATATGTTAAAATTTTCCATCCTTACACATGCTAGTATCGATTAATTCCTTATGTCTGTGATACCTGTAGGATTATAGTTCAAACTATACATCAAACTGTACATGAAACTGGTGTACATTCAAGCAGCATTTTTAATGTAGCACAGAACAAACACCATTGAGCAAACAGGTTGTTAATTTATTGCTAAACTGCATAAAAAAATGATTTAGCAGTGACAGGTCACACAAGCTCGTATGTTTGACACTGGACACATTTTGAAGTTGGCCAACTGTGGAATGTGTTACTTGCAGTGGCTGTTCAATCACAGAATCTCTGTGAAGTTTGCAAAGCAACACACGTCATCTCTGGTGACAGCGTTTAATTATGCTAGACTTTTAAAAAGCAACAAAAAGCAACAGTGGTGCAGAGAGTCCAAATACCTATGTGTACAAAAGCTGCTTATCTCTGCACAAAAGCCACTAGATTTTTAGAAGAGACCGCAGTTTGCTCAGAGTTTTGAGATCTTCGCTATTTCATTAAAAATGCTTTTCTGATATGTCAGTTTTGATGTCAATAGTTAGCAATGGATAGATAAAAGCTAAAGATATAATGGTACAATATATGGGCTACAAAAGGTCCAGCAAGGTTTGACGCTCTACCTTGTTGGACGCTGGCTGTGTCTGGGTCTGAGTCTGACACCTGCTGGACACTTTATATAACTATCTTTGTGTGCAACTGTGTGCCGTTGACCTGTTTCAACTTACTGAGGAATGGATCAGTATATTTTATTTACTTTCATTTTGCATAAAGATAAACCATAAAAATGAAAATGAAATTTACAAACAAAGGCAGTGAAGAAAAAAACTGTGTATACACAGGCTGGTCGGTTTTACAAGACCACTGTTTGTGTAACATGCAATATAAATGCACCTCAAAGAACGTGCAGGGAAATGTGGACAATCATGTCTTTACCAATTATTAAGAAATGACTGTTGCTAATTTTGGTAATGACAATAAAATACATAGGGTCAAAGATAACTGCTTTTTGGGAAAAATAATTGGAAGAAATTAGAAGATATCAGTTTGTTGCAATGTAAGCTTTACCACAGTGAAAATCTGTTCAAGCAAGATTTTCACTACAAAGCTGTCAATATAAGAAGTCACTTTCTGGATGTAACCTATGGATATGTAACCACCTAACTATCTAAATAAATAAATAAATAACCACATATCACGTGTTTTGTGAGTTTTTTGTTCTTACATGATTTTATTTATCTAGTTGTTTTCAAGATAAATATCACAAAGTGCTCCACAAAAAATGCTGAAAAACCAACAAAGACGCATCTATGCATTTTTCTTCCACTTATTCTGTTCAGCACCACAGGAGGTGGCACGCGAAGGGTTAACCGATGGCACGAGCATAGCTGGACTGGCCCGGTGATTTTTCGTTTTTATGGGCTGACGGACGCTGGAACTTCAGGTAAGAAGTAATGACCTGCAGTCTGTCTGGGTCAGATATAAACCAAGTTTAGGTGGAGTTTATCGTTTATCGTTGTGCTGACTTTTTACAGTCAGTTACAACAACTCGTACTGCTTACTAGCTAGTATGACGGAGTTTCTATACAGCTGGGTGGGTGCTATGATGTTACTGATAGTGAACTTTATTTTATTCATAAGGTTAGTTAGTAGAGTTGCCAACCGTCCTGTAAAATACGGAATCGTCCCGTATTCGGAGAAAATATTACGCGTTTCGTATTGAGCTGAAAAGTTTGTCCCGGACTTCAGTTAGAATGAAAAAGACACAAAGCTGGATTTATTCTGTGTCTTTACGCTGCAGCTGTCTCTTCTTCTCTCATTCTCCCCCTCCCTCTCCTGTTTCTACTTCAATCATGAAAACTGATCAATGATCAGCTGATCGGCTTTTCTCTCTTGTTTGTTTATCGCCCACTTTGCGACAGAAAGAGGAAACCAGCGGATGTTGCGCTAAACAACAGCAGCACGTTTAAGCTTGATCAGCTTTTGTTAGAATTGATTTCATATTAATTTCTCGTATCAGCTGATGTTTGCTGGAGCCACAGCTGTAAACCTGCTGGTCATGATGTCGGTTTGGATATGTGGTGAGAGGGAAACAAACCAGGAGATGTCCTTACTGAATCATCAGAGCTGAGAAGGTGATGGAGAAACAGGTTTACCTTTTAGGTGACATGAATGAGTTGAAGGGCAGTTATGAACTGTCTCTGAGAGAAAAATTACACCAGGATCCTTTTCTAAGTAGCTGACAGCTGGTAACTGTGCAGGGGCGGGACTAGCAAAGTGTTGCCAGGAGGCAGATGTCACACAGTGGAGATCTGTATTTATCTTGTACATTGGTTTTATTCTAATTTTTAGTGTCTATTTTTGAGTGCATTTTTTATTTGCATGATTTTATTGTTTCTATTGCATGTTTGTATGTTGATATTTATATTGCATGGTTTTAATCACTGTGGACTGGCTGCACATGGGACAAATTAGCTGATAGGGATCACCTGCTGAGGCATGGGTGTGTCAAGAGGTGGCCTATCAGCTGTGCAAAGACCTTTCAAAAGCAGGCTAGCTGAGCACTGGGAGTAGAGAGGCCCCAGATATGAGAAGGAATGTGTGGAGGCCACGTGAAAAGAGGGACCTGCTGCCTAATTGTGGGGGTGCGACGCCTAACCTGGAGACAGATCGGCCGATGTGACGTGGCGACCCAGCTCTGTGCCTCATTTTCCCCACACAACATTATTACTTCTTTCATTCATTGTTATTAAAATATTTAAAACTTGTTTTTTTTTTATTATTGAGATTTCTACAGTTTAAATTTTCTCCTTTAATACAAACATCTGGTTTTCATGTACAATGGAACCCCGACTTGTGAAATTAATTTGTTCCTGAGGGTCTTTTGTAAGTCGAAAATTTTCGTAAGTCAAAGCACCCATTGCTGTTGGCAGCACGGTGGCACGGTGGTTAGCACTGTTGCCGCACAGCAAGAAGGTCCTGAGTTCAATTCCAACATCAGGCCGGGGTCTTTCTGTGTGGAGTTTGCGTGGGTTCCCTCCGGGTACTCTGGCTTCCTCCCACCGTCCAAAGACAGGCAGCTTGAGGGGATAGGTTAATTGGAAAATCCAAATTGCCACTAGGTGTGAATGTGAGCGCGAATAGTTGTCCGTCCCTGTGTGTTGGCCCTGCGACAGACTGGTGACCTGTCCAGGGTGTACCCCGTGACAGCTGGGATAGGCTCCAGCGCGACCCTGAAAAGGATAAGCAGAAGCGAATGGACGGATGGAAGCACCCATTGCGCCTTTTGAGTGAACGATAGGCCATAGGCTAATTGTTAACTGCAACAACAATACATCGTTCAAGTGGAACAGCGAAGTGCAAGTACGAAAGCCAAGGGGGTTGTCACATGATTCGGAAGGCATTGTGGGCATTGTAGGCATTCTGGGCTTTCGTTACGCGGGCATTTTGCAGTAACACAGGCAGAAATATTGGCGTTAAGTCCCTTCGTAAGTTGAATTTTTCGTTAAATGGGGTATTCGTAAGTCGGGGTTCCACTGTATTAAAGAAATCTTTTTTTAAAAGAGTTGAAAAAGTTTATTTTTAAGTTACAACAGGACCTTTCTTTAGGTTCCACATAACTGGCAATAAAGAATTTCAAATTATTGTAATTTAGCTGTAACTAACTGTGTATGACCCTCAATTCACTTACAAAGACAGTAGGAGACAACGCATGTGAGTGGCAGCATTTGTGAGTAGGGTCTCCACTGTCGTTTACTGGGTGCAGCCGGGTTGGGAGAGGGTCGCCATGGCTATAAGCCAGGGCCCTCTTGGGACCATTGTTGTGGCCCCTATTTGTTATTTTAGAGGGTGCCGACGCAAGGGGAGCTGTGGTGGCATCGCAGGACGGACTCGGGTGCAGAATGCAAGCTGGGCAGGGATGTGATGGGCCCAGTGGAAAGACAAGAGGATAGGAGGCTCCTCCTCATCTGCCGAAGACAAGGCTGGTGTGGACTCCACTCTAAAGAAGGAATTCCTGGACTGCTGGTGGACCCATAATGAACATGTGGCATACTAACATTAGAGGGAATTTAGTGAACGTAGAAGATTGTATTTAATATATAACCGTGATCCTTCCCAGGCCCTTGCAGTTGGTAGACAATAAAATCTATCCTGGTGTTCCTGGTGTCCAAGTCGTACTTATGTCTGTAAAGCAACTGGGGTCTCAATATCCTGTTTAAATGTCTCTCCATAATGATGGTTCCTTGCATTGCCAGGCTTTTCAAAATGCATTTGTAGCTCATTCCCAGCGTAAAATAAAACTCAATCATACTGTCTGTCCATGATGTATAGGTTTAGCCTACTCTTATGCTTATGTCTCTATGCAGCTGTCCAGGAATTGTGTCAATATGATGTGCGCACGTTATCTATTTCGTTGCCACAAATGCGTAATTCGTTGCCACATTATGCCCAATTCGTGGTCACAAATAAGTATTTCGTGGGCACGTTATACCCATTTCAAGGGCACGAAGTAGTATTTTGTGGCCACAATTTATTTATTTTTTGGACCATGTCATCAGAGGGGCTCAGTACATCTCTGTGCCTTGGTATCTGACTCGCTTACTCCCCCTTGTATTTAAAAGAATCGTCCTTTTTTTTCTTTTGCAGCATGACATTATGGCACGACCGCTTTAGTGTCTGCGTGTTACACAGGAGGGCACTAACAGGGAAAGGGGGGCACAAAGAAATACTTATCCTTCTTATTCTTATTTAAAATATCTCGCTTTTAATAAATAATTATCTGAATCTTACAACCAAAGTTTTATCTGATGTAAAATGTATAGAAATCATACATATACCAACAAGACAGTATACATCACTGTCACAACAGCGTTTGTTTTCATTCAAAGGCTTTATGGCTTTTCCTATAATACCTGGTGGGCCGATCTCTAGTTAAAATGCCCCGGCTGATTTTTTTGTCACAGTTAAAAAATTAAAAAATAAATGGCCGGGCCAGCGGTGCACATCGCAATTTAGCTCACATAGACACATTAGTTGTGCCGCTTCTTAATGACTGTATCTTAGCTAACAACCCCAACTACCAGATTCAACTTGTAATTGGCTAAAAATAACTTCACCTACCGGGGAGGGGGACGCTGCTAGCTGGCAGGTTTTTCAAGCGATGCGAAAAACGTATTACTTTAAACTATTATTACTCAAGTAAAAGTGAAAAGTAGTCTTAAAAAAAGTTACCCAAGTAAGAGTAAAAAAGTACTTGGTGAAAAGACTACTCAAGTAGTGAGTAACTGTTTGAAATGTCCGATTTACTTTTTAAATAAATGCTATCAGACAAACAAAAATAAATAAATATACAAATTTTAGTATTTTCAAAAGGAATATATGTAAAATCATCAACAAAATAAGGCACAACAATTCTAATTTCCAGATTTCATTTTTCCTCAACATAAAGTTTTTTTTTTACCAATGCCTACAGTAAATAACATAAATATATAAACAGTGCAAACAATTTCCAGTGACAAGATATGCTGTAAACTTTATATTCATTTTTGTTCCAAATGGCAGCAGTCTCAGAGAAGACATTAGAACGAGGCATCTTCAACATGTGTTCATACAAGGGAGCTCAGTTTACCATAAAATTGTATGGGTGTGCATTTATTTCTGCATATTTAGCAAAAATGTGCCATTTCTTTACTCAGTGAAGTGATGGTTAAGCTTCAGCAGCAGTTTGCTCGCAAGGTTCTTTCTGTGAAGCTGTCACTGTTCAGCAGTGAACAGGAGTCCTGCATGACTGAGAAGTCCTTCACAAGCTCCAGATGCAGGAAGAGCTGTATCGATTTTGATGGACAGCTTCTTGATGTGAGGAAAGCCATGCAATAGATCCATACCTCCAGTGAATGGTCATGAAAGGTAGCTCTCCAGCCCTGCTTCTGGCTTTCCTGACCCCATGGATCCATCATCTTCGTTGGTTAGGCCGCTGTCACTGTGGAGGTGGTTGTGCGTTCCTTTGATCCTAGTAACAAAGGTCATGTTGTTGAGGGAAGCTTGCCCTTGGTATGGTCTCCCAAGCTAAATATACTACATGAATAAATAAATAAAAGACATCAAGGATTCCTTTACGTAGCCTGGGCCAGGTTTGAGGGTGTTTGGTATTTGGGCCTTAGCCCAATTAATTCATTTATTATATTA